AACAAAAACCGGATAATCAAATGACGAAAAACCAAATAATCTAGCCAATACTTTTCTTTTTCCACTTCTCATACAAACTTCACTTTTTTTTCTACTTCTCTATTATATATTTTTAATTGTTTTATGTAGGCATTAATAGTTTCATATCTGTAAAGTTTTACAGTAAATGAAATCTGCCAAAAATGTTCCCTTAAATATCCGTATATAAAACTGTTTCTCATACATTCACACACTTACATACACACAGCCATAAAGAACCACTCATGAAGTCTTGAACAGAAAAGAACTACACCAAGTATTACATTTGGTTATTGTAATCAGAAACAGTCTTTTTCTTTTTTTTTTTTTGCTAAATACTGCTAATTCTTTTATTAGGTCTCACGTTACTGTCTAATTTGCATTATTTTATAATCACTACTATTATTATTTTTACCCTTATTTATTACTATTATTCGCTGAACACCATGTGTCTAAACTCCTTCTCGTTCTCCCATCTTTAACTTTATTATTGTTATTACCGTTATTATTATTATTATAATTATTATTATTACTAATATTAATTATCTTTTGTATTTTCTCCATCTCCATTTCTTATTTGTCACTAGAAGAAAGAATGAAGGAAAATTAACTTCCTGGGCCTAACGCTAGCCTGCTTGTATCATGTTTATAGTATGCGGTGAGGCTCAAATCCGTAGTCTCCCCCTCAACTCCTGAACAAGATATGTCGAAGACAAACCCATATAACTACCCCAGCAGAAACAGCTTTCGCGCACAGCACAGAAAAGAAAAAAAAGACTGACCAAACTCCACTTCCCTTTTAACTAAGCATATCATCAAACTGTCAAATACTCTTCTAACACCCACCACCTACGCGTTTACTAATTATTTTCCGTTTTCTGTTCCAAGTTCCACACCCTTCACTGACTGACATTCAACCTTACTGGTAGTTACAATCGAAAAAGCTACCGGTACAACAAATTTGAGCTTCACTGCAAAAAAAATTCAATTGAGTCTGAACATACTTTATGATTTGACCTTCAAATTTATTTGCAGTGCACTAGACTATGTAATAAAAATGATATCTATGCAGGAAAGATAAATAATTCGCCCAACTAGACCTGTTCCAAATAAAGCGCCGCAATTTGTAAACGACATAATCTCCAGTATAAAATGCCCTCCCCAGTTCAAAATGCACAGAACAAACGACAAAAAATAGGCCAATAAACGAAATTCAGAATGACAACAAAAAACAGCTGTAACATTTAAATCACCTAAAAGTAAGCAAAGAAAAAAGATTCAAAACAGTATTAACAACATAAAATAAACAGTTATACAAATTTCATAAGTAAAAAAATTTGGGCACAACAACACTGCAAAATTATATAAACACCAAGCAAAAGTTTTCACATCAGCGACATCATTTTATGAATTGGCAAGTCAAGGAAACAAAATTAAAGTAAATCTTAAAATCATTGAACAACACACTCTTTCTTTTCTTCCGGAGGATAATGAGCGTACTGTCCAACTGGAGCCTGTGGCGCCTGAGGATACTGTGCTGACTGATAACCCGGTTGAGGAGGCTGCTGAGGGTAACCTGGTTGCGGGGGTTGTTGTGGATAACCCGGCTGAGGTTGTTGTGGGTAGCCTGGCTGTTGGGGGGGTGGATACTGTTGCGGGTAACCACTTGGGGGCATTGGTCCTGGAGGAGTTGGCTGCATACCTTGCTGACCTGGCCCACCAAAGCCTTGCTGAGGATAAGGGGTTGGAACCCCACTGGTCTGCATTCCGTACGGTGGTGGTTGAGCCTGATTAATACCTGGACCACCCTGTGGGTCGGGATACGGAGTATTAAGACCCGATCCAGTTGATGGGTAAAGAGACGATATTGGAGCAACCTTAGGCTGTTTTAGAGCGTCTTCATAAGCTGGAGGATTCATATTAATACCAGATAAACGCAAAATGCGCAAGTGTGTTCCAGCTGGCATTCCAGGAAGTGGTTGGTCAAAGTCACCCCAAAGGTAAACAGTTCCTGGAAAAATTATACAAAAAATATGCAATAATTAGTAAAATAAAAAAGTTAAAAAATAATTATGCCTCGAACAATTAATATTTTACGCAAGTTTTGAAAAAAATTTTTTCGGTCGAGATATGAAATTAAAAATAAACCTGTGCTATTTGCCGTAAGGCGTGGTTCAATAAGTGGTATAGGCATCTGAGCAGGAATTTGCATCCATGTGAAACTCTCAAGACTCAATACCCAGTAATCTACTAAACGCACTACCGAGTCACCATAATCGATCTCACCACCAGCAAGCAAAAGAAAACCTAAAGATTTCTCATGATTAAACTAAAAACCAGAAGTTAACTAGACAAACAGCGAGCAAACACTTCAAAGCCAAACTTAAGAGCGGTAAAAAGTTTATGCAATATTATTACATGTCGAGATGTATAACTGTAATTCATGCTAAACTTCTTGCTAAAAATTCAAGAAAAAAAAATTATATTTAACAATATAATGGTGTACCAAACTCAAAGTACCAACTTTTCCTCCATAAAAGCAAATATTAATTGTCACTATGCTAAGATCAGTTTTCCTCAACCAGTTGACACCTGCATATCGAAACCTTTTCTAGTCAGCAATATTTTTGTAAACAAACCAAAACAGTTGGTGAAAGAAGCATAAAAACAAACAGTTCTAATTTGTCCAACTAAACTTATCGAAAGCTATCCACAAATTCACTAAATGAATATACCTGTGCATTAAACTTCAAAAACCTATTAACCTGAAAAATTGCACACTAAAGCCATAAAAGAAAGTAGCTTAAAATTCTTTTAAAAATCTATCCTTCCCGAATATTTAAAATGTAACAACAAATAAAATAAAACCAGACCTGAGCAGGTACTAAGCGCTGCTTGTTTCCTTGCTGAAGGCATACCACGCTGGGGATCAGGCTTACAATGTTCTGTACGTATGCTTGTATCACCTTCTAAACTTAAGAAGTGAACCCGAGTATTATCAAAGTGCCCATCTGGAGACGAAGAAACGAAATATATTTTTCTGTAAAAACAATTTTAAGAAATGAAATTTACATCAAGTTCTTAAATAAACGTTTATAGCTTTTTAATAAAAAATAAAGTTGCGATATCTACCAAATACTGTGTTTTATTTCAGAACACAATACAAACCCGCGGCTGACAAAAGCATCGTAAAAGTGTGCGATATCTGCTCCTGGTACCGAAAAAGAGCCAACTGGAGATGAGGGATAATCAGATAAGCAGTTTATTCTTGTTACATTTAAACCAGGTCCACTTAAAACAACAAGTTCTGGTGCATCTTCTCGTAGCGTGACTATGACGTCCTGGTTTACAGGTATAGGACTAGACAATAATGGACGAGGTTCACCTTCAAAACCATTGCCGAAGCTGTTGAAACTGAGTTTCCACAAATGCAACTGAAAAAAAAAAAGTAACCACAAAGTAATCCCTTGTGGGAAAATCAAAATTTTCCTTCCTACAGTGAAATTTGATCATCTAAGACTCACTCCTGACTGATTGTATTCTCCACCGTCTGTCACAACAATGGCCGAAGTTCCACCAGCCGACGATGGGCATTTCAAACCAAACAAGAACTTCAGATTACCTGAATTACTTACATGAAAATGTAGAAACTCATATGAAACTAGAACCGAAAATAAGTTTTGAGACACTGAACAAGCTGCCCTGCGTACAAGACACACGAAAAAGTGAAATTTTATACTACATCAAAATTTAAGAAAGATTTTTCTTAAATTTATCAGAATAAAACGTTGCCTTTGGAATCAAATTCAGCTGGTTTTGAAATAATCACAGCTAAAAACTCTAGAACTTTCATTCAGTTATTTCAATTGACTCAGCGACACAGAAAAATCTCTTTTGCGAGAGCCCTGCCAAAGTAATCTCTAACCAGTGATATGACATTGGTCTCTTCAAAAAGAAACCTTTGTTCTGTTCATCACCCAATGATGCCTACTAGAACACATCAAATGTTTTAACCATCTGTAGACTGTCATTTCCTATATGCCGCAAATCGTTACCCACAAAACCGTCTTCTAAACTGTTGCTCAACCATAATGTTTCTATTAAAAAATAATTTCACTTCTTCCCAACATATCTTCCCGTTCGCTGCTACAATCATTTTTTAGTATCTAATTCTAAAAATTTGTAGAAACAAATTACCAGGGCATGAGCTAACAAACCTTAGGCCTCTTACGAAATGACAGCCTCACACTAAACGTATTTTAAAAACTGACGAAAATCCAAAATGTGTTGCTTCATTTTATGCTAGGTAATGAAGCTGCAGTAGACACGGCAGCAGCAGCAGAGCGGAATGAGAAAAAACGTAAAAAATGAAAATTATTAAAAAGCTTATAAGAATAATATGAAATGTTAGAAAAGACGGATAAAAATCATTATACAGTTCTTTACAGATAAAATCTATCAAAAAAAGGTCAAAAAAAGCAGAGATGGTATTTGGAAAGTACGTATATCTCACCTACAGAGAAGACCTCCCACTGAAAAAGTTTCAGAAGATCAAACAGACCGGTTGATAAAAAAGACAAATTCCTAGAAAGTGAACGATAATAAACTTTTAGTCTTGCTAGATTTTCCTGCAAACATAAAAAAATACGCCACTAGTCAAAGTTGTTTCGTTTATTATCTAAACGTCAATTAATTATCTAGTATTAATAGTCACCACTCAGCAAAGTCATTTAGAAATACTTCCCTATACAAGATCACAGAAATTTTCCATATAAATGCCACGATCTTTTACATCTTAGTAAATATTTTATACATATTTGAGCAGGTTATCCAGTGTTCCGTCAGATATATCAAAAAAGCTTTTGAAATCATGACTTCAACGAAAAATATAAAAGCAACAACCCTGCACGTAAAGGGGTATTTCTTGTGTAAAGCATCGTCTGTTGACGTCGAAAACAACGATGCCAGGTCCGCCTTTCCTTCCTCCCCTATAATTACAGGCATTGAATAAGCCACATAAATAAACAGCATTTAACACTTGTAAAAAAGAGAAAAAACAAGACCTCTACTTGCTGATGATTATTGAACAATGTCACCTCAAAATTACAATGCTTCTAGTAACAAATACCAAATTTAGATATCAGCAAAGTGTTGATGACTTAATAATCCAAAAACCAGTTCCATAGTATATCGTTTAGCTGGCTTACAGCAAGTCCAATAACCTCCTGCTAAGCCAACAAAGGTTTGAAATTTTGTTAACACTACTACTTTGCAAAATAAGTGAAGCACGAACGATGTGCCCGACTGTTCATCAGCTACCGGATCGTATAAAAAGTACAGCAGTTTCTTATCGATACTTTCTACGACATCCTGGAAAACAGCCATGCGGTAGCGGCCGGTTTGTACGTCCAGAGGATCCGGTGCACGTCCCCACGGAACCGTTACATCTTCTGTGCTTACTTGCAGCATATTGTCGCCGAAGCACTTCTAAAAAACTATAGTTTCAAAATGACACTCATTAAAATTTGTAAAAAACAAAAATCACCAACGAAAGAAAGGCAATAAAACAACAAACAATCAACAGCGCAACCAGCATCAATAGTTTCCATCAACTCTCACAAGAACCTACACACAAAAGAAATCTAATAGTCAAAAAGCTAACAACATTTCCTTCTTAATCGACACAAGAAAACTAACTAATAACATTCCCCGTCAACAACTTAAAAATTAAAAAACGAGAACACAATACGAGTATAAGAGTTCAACCATATAAGTCACCGAACAAAAAATTCTGATCATTAAAAAAATCCTGAATACATTATATTCAATACCAATAGAACTTCAGTCCACAAAACTATTTAAACAACATTTTTTAGCTGATCGATGAGCAAAAATACAAAACAATCTTTCTACCTGCATAAAGAATATTTCAATTAGTTAGAACCACGTCATCAAAACAAATTACACAAACATCGCCATAAACTGTACTGACAATAGCAATCCCACGAAAATTAGAGAATTGTTTCAGGAAAGAATAAATCGGAAAATTTTCAACATGTTTTTGGACCTTAGACACTGTCACCTCGTCAAATACCACCCAAAACTAAATTACCAACAGCTAAATAAACCATGTAGTACTTTCAAATAACCTCCGTAAAGTGTAACCTGTCGATTTGTAAAAAAGCAACAACTGTATCAAAGAGTAACTCGACATCTTCAAATTCTGACTGTCCACCATCCACTTTTCTATAGTACAAAGTGTGTTCGTTTCTCGCAAAAGCTACAAAAATCCAATTTTTCTGATCCTTATCTCAAAATAACCAGTTTGCTGTAGAAAGGTGTTCAATTGTTATGCAGTTTACTGTCGCTTAGCAGTTAATTTGAAGAAAAGTAAATCGAAGGTTGATGGTTAAAAAAACAACAATACAAAAACAACAAATAGTGATGTAATAAACGTTAACTAACCAGAAAAAAAGAGGAAAATGGTGCTGATAATAATTTCCTACCTTGACAAATTCAGCGTCACCATATCAAACTCATTATTTGCACTCAGTAGCATTTCAATACCTTATCAAACCGTCAAATATTTCCGTAGCATTCTGCTAGTTACGATAATAATTTAATGCAGACACTTAAGTGCAACAGACTGAACAGCACTGTCATCATCAGTAATAAAAACCCATATGAGAAATCCCTTCGGGTTTACATGCCTTCCTTCCTCCATTATTCCAACTTTTAGCTCTCTTTTAAAACCGTTGGAAACTTCCTACAAAATAAGAAAAAAACATTTCTCAATTTTTCGTTCAAAAAAAGCTTTTTTTTCATAACTCCAGACGACATTTATAAGACGTTAAATGCTCAATATACAGAAGGGATACCATTTTTACTCATATATTACCACTTTTCTCGGCCTATTACTTTTTCATTTCTTTTTTTTTTTAAATTTTCTTATTGGCTCAGGCAAAACGAAAAAGGAAAGTAAAGTCCCCAATTGCCAAAAATCCACCCTTCAGAATCTTCATAACAAAACCAACAACAAAAAACATCGGATCAGATTATATTAATGTACACAAAAAATACAAGAATTCAAAATTTAAATTTGTTAGGTTCTGTAAGCAAACAGTATTAGCTTCTTATCAAGGAAAAGAAACGCTGACTAAGTATCAACGTTGTATGTTTAAAAATAATTTTGAAACAGTAAATGACAAACATGTTGCAAAAAAAAACGAAGGTGCGAACATTTAAGGCTGAAAAAAAAAAAGGAAAGAAACAAGGACAAATGTTAGGACAAATTTCTAAATTAGTTACCGATCAAGTAACCTTTGGTGAAAACAAAAACAGCTCATCCCTCCTCATGCAAAAAAACAACAACAATAACACAATTCCCTGAAACTATTGCATGCTATAAAAATTAAATCGAAAATAGAGCATAGATTTAATGACGTTGATAGCAAAATAGACAGGCAAACAGATGCAACAAAACCTGTTCGTTAAATTTATTTTTGACTACTATTCCAATACCACCACCACCAACAACAGCAACACTGCCGACATCAACATTACCAACAACAACAAAAACAACAAAACCAACGGGAAAAACACCTGAGAGACAACAACAAAATGACTTACGACATATAATCGCCAAGCTGAAAGAACAGAAGTTGGTATCACGATAGTAACGATCTTCAAACTATGGCCGGTCTTTTTTTTTTCTTTTTTTTTTCCGTTAAATACCAGCGCTCGCAGCAATAAATATTAATCCCATACAACATAGCAATTCCTTCAAACTGTAAAATTCTGATGAGCTTAAACCGTTTACGAGCTTCTAAAGATTACGAAATGCAAGAAAAGAAGTTTCAACTCCGATAGACAATGACTCAGCAAACAACAGGAACTAAAAAGCAAACGGAATAGCAATAAACACCCCTCTCCACCTCTCTTTTCTCGCCATCTCTCTCTCTCTCTTCCCTCCTTTAACGGCAATTATAACAGAGCGATTTATAGCGCAACTAACAACTGTATCCTGACTTTCGCATTCTGCTTATTTTTAACACGTTTATTCGTCTTACTCAAATATGAACATATTTTGTATATATACGTCTGTATTTTTAATATAGGAGACAAAAATATTACGTAAATAAACATTTTGTAATGCAGCTTTTTTACTCAACTCTCCTCGCTCTTCCGACCACTTATAGTGCAATTAAATTCGAAGTTTCTTCAAAAATAGCAATGAAAGCAACCAACCAACCTGATACACGACGATTACCATCTTCTGTTCAGCAATACTTTTTACGAACAACACTAATATATGGTCGATTAACGGGTATTACACGTACAAAAAATAAGTGCAAATTGAGAAACTGACATACGTCACACAATTTATACCGTGAATTATGTGCTTCAGTTTAACACAATGTCGCATAATTCACTGACGTAATTACAGGTCTTGAGATAAAACAACAACAAACCTTTTCACAGACTGGACATCAGTGTTACGAACTTAAAATGCTGGCAGATGCGAAATAAAAATAAGAGAATCCAGTCAGATTTATGCAGTAAAGAAAACTGGTGATAAAGGTGGGATAGTAACAAACGCGAAAATGAGCAACTATTGGTACAATTTCAGAAAATGGTTGCGTTCACTGTCATCGATGAACTGTCATTTCGCAGCAAACGCCCAAATACACCGCACCACTTACCTCCCGATAGGACATTGATTTCAGTTCATTGAAACTCTGCACCACTATCTATACTACTTAACAAACGTTGAAGTTCAATAACAATCGTTCGCACATGCAAAACAGAGCCAGCCGAATGTGAAACAAAATCAGCATTCAAGACAGCACCGTCATCGAACTAAAAATGGCATTCTGTTGTTTGCCTTATAAAAATATGATGTGATTTCTCGACCACAAATTAAACGTCCATCCAACAAAACTTTGGCAATTTTCCCTGTGAGTTGAGGAAAAATCATCTCATTTCCGCCAAAAGAATCAACAAAACGCTTCTACTAATCAACTTCTGTAATACCCACATAAATTCACTCAGTTCTTCATAATTGACTGGTAGAGGGTAGCTCTGTAAATTTCAACGGTTCTTGGGTGTCAGAGTCCCAACGAAGCTGCACTTAATGTATTTGACAATTATCTTTTCCGAGCAACTAACCGACAGGAAAATGAGTTTAGTGTTTACTGTAAAAGTGCTGCTTTTTGTTGCTAATTCAGCGTACCACTGAAGGCTTTTCAGCATTTACCCGTTCGATGTTCATCCGGTTGTCAAAATTACGACTTGGCTGCTCCAGAAGTCTAAAATCGCCGTCTGCCATCGGTTTCTGTGGCTTTTAGAACAGGAAAAAATCCCGACGTCCACCTCAAATTTTCTGGAGTGCTGGCGGTTGATTGGATTGCGTAATTTTCACTAAACTGGACATTTTCCGAAGACGTTATTACTGTGACGGCAAATTTTCGATCTTAAAGCTTCGTTCAGCTTTCTTGGCTCTAAATAATCGTTACTGCTGTTATTTTTGGCAATTTCTTAGAAATATCTTCTGAAGTTGTTCACAAAACGCCATCTCCAATTTTTTATACAGTTATTTTGAACAGCTTTTTCAACGCTCCAAATTTCTCTCGGTTTTGATACTTATACATTATCACGCACTAAAAAATAATAAGTATTTGAAGAGGAGGGTATGGACAGTTATATTTGATTTATTACTTTCTGAAATTAGAATTTAAGCCAAGTAGATCCTGCATTTTGTTCTGTTATTTTTTTCCTCATGGCCTTTACTAACTTAAAACAGAAACCTGGTCAGGTACCCGCTGTTTACTGAAAATCAGAGAATTAGCTCTATCAAAAATTATTGCTCTTTCAACTTCTCGTCAATACCACTCAGTTTTTAAAGAGAATGCCTTAGTACTGTTGTAAAAATTAAATTATGCCCACTGAACACCAGGTAACAGGTTTCCAACCTCTTCGTTAAGTCTTGTAAAGAAAATCCCTAGTCGGAAAAACTCCTAAATTCTTTCTCCATGCTTTCGTTCCCTGAAAACTTGCTCTGGAACATTAATACACAGGGACTGCACTATTTACGTCCACTCGCTTTATAGGGCCTCCAACACGACCGAAAATGACAGTATGCAACTTGATGCGTAACATATTACATCCCGTAGATCAACTCTTTGCATATCTAACTACTCGTTGCAGAAAACCACAGTTGGACATTTCCTTTTATTGTAACTCCCTCCCAGAGTAAAAAGTAAATGGAGTAAGAAAAAATCTACATGAAAGATTTCACGTTTTATATGTGGCAATGCAACAAAGAAGCAATAGAATACAGATAATACAGTGCAGCCTTCAGCGAGTAAAACGGAATTATGGTTCAACTGTCAGTGGAATTTCAAAATGCATAACGTTTAATACGGAATAGAATGAACATAAACTCTTAATAACAACGAAGATGAAAGAACAATAAATGATTAGAGTGATAATAATTTAGAATCCTCGAGTAACAACGATCACTGAGTTCTGGGTTAATGACCGGATAAAAACTATTTGAAAAGAGCAGGAAGCCAACACCACGACTGGACAAATGACTAGTTTGAGACATCTGGATGGAGATTCAAAATATTCGTCTTTATCGCTTTCGCACAGTCACCAGCCTTTGGGAGTACGAAACGCTGTACTGCCGTTATCTGGAAGAAAAAAGAAAGTTTACGCAGTTAAGAAGTCAATAACGTAGCAATGCCGTGACAGGACATAAAACAAAAGGGCAACCAACTTTGTATTCGTCGTTACCAAGAAAATATCCAAATTTGAAGGTCAACATTTCTGGAAGTTTCTTCTTGCTTGTTACACGAAGAACCGTAGTGTATGCATGTCTTGATCTGGAGATTACTTTGTTACCCTAGAACAGATACTACAATAGGGTCAGATATTTTAGCAAGTCGCGAGCAATAAATTAAGAAAATCTTTACGGCCCACCTCTTCCGTCTCATGAAACACATGTATGTAAGTTCTCGTCAAAGCAAGAATACATTTTACTGTTCGCCAACTTGAACCACTAGACAGTAATTCGATACCCTCAAAATGTTCTAAGATGTCGTCTTGTGCAAGAATGTCACCCAAAGCCTGGAAGGAATTGAGAAAATAAATAAGCGAATATAACAAGCAAAACTGTCTTAAGAAAAAAAGTCACAGGCTATAACTTAAAATCTTGCCTTTGAATAATATAATGGAACTAGAAAAACTTGGGAATTTTCGTATTTAATCACATAAGAGATTGTACCTTAGGTTCGCTAGTTTCCTTCGCTTCGCTACTATAAGCCATTGTATCAATGTCAGAATCTGAATCACTTAGTGTGAACACCGAACGTTCGTTCCGGTACCTTTTGCCATGACGCTGACTAGCATCAACATGTTCCAAACTAGTCCTTCTTGTACCAACTGTAGGTAAATGTGCAATGCGCCACACCTCACTCACAGAAGGAGCATTTGACTTCACAGTGGAGAAAAGTTCCCCGACTTTGTTTTTCCACTAGACAAAAAACAGTATTTCATACTTGATAATTTAAGACGTTATTGTAAAGTCTTTTTAAACTTCGACTCAATGTACATCCAATTTAAATATATTTAAAAAAGCAAGTAAACGAGAAAACATCCCTGAAAAATCTACCGAAAACTTTCGCGTTAGAGATTTTGACCCCAAACCCTGTCCAGTACACTCTTTGCACAAAGCTTCGCAATGCGCGTCCAATTTTTCAAAGTTTGGATTAATCAGATCATGGACAGCTAAAGAAGAAATACAGATTTGTAACGACAGAAAAGATAAGAAAGCAAGAACAAGAGTTCATATTACTAATTAACCTTTATATCCTCCATGCACCAAAGCAATATTTTTCCTAGAATTATGAAGGAAATTTGCTACCATCATATATACATAGGAATCCTCTTCACTGTGGCCGGACCCCAAAAACAGCAAATGGTCTTCATAATGTGCAGTTACCCGATATGCATCAAGACTTGAGAGTGCGATCTTATACTGTTCTGGTGCTCGAACAAACTAAACAGTACTAAATTTTCAAAGACCTAATTGCACTGAAATTTGAAAAAATAACATCCATAGAGACTAACTAAGGTGGAATCCAGGTTATAAGACCCATCGATGTGTCCAGCAGCAAACTGGTCATGCGGACGAGCATCAATAATGAAAAACTTGAAGACGATCCCCTAAAACATACTTTGACTTTCTAAGAGCAGATTTATGAAAAAAAAAAAGGAAACAACTACAAAGAGGTGTTTAAGCAACAGATGTAAAAAAAATACTGAGTCTTTATTTTCTTCAGATGTCAATCCAAGTAAATCGCGGGCATCAACAGGTAAAACTAAAAGAGAGGATATGTCGACTGGTGAGTCGCCTTCATTTTGTGAACCAAAAAGCGCCCTTTGATAGTCCTAAAGATAAGGGACATAACAGCTTCAGGAAAACCGCCATTCAGCGTGTCCTTCTTTAATATATTTCGCCAATTACTTCAAGGTATTCTGCAACAACTTTAAAAGACTCAGATTACTTGTTTGATTGAAGGAGGCGTCTGCTGAAGAAAGTGTTCCGCAATTGAAAAAAAATCCGCAACATCTTTAGATGAAAATTGAGTCGTTGTATTTTGTAATAAGTTACAGATCTCTCTGAAAATTATAACCATCCACATAATAGTTATAGGTATAGAGGATGAAACTTTAATGATAATAAAAAGTCCTTGCTTACTCTCGACTCTCAAGTGCCAATATGTCGTCGCATAAATTAATCACGAAAACCAAGCTCATAGCAAACAGCATAAAAGGATCACCCTGCAGAAGTCAAATGATTGAAGTTCTACTACAAGTAAAAACTCAAGATTTTTTAGTGATAATAATAAAAGGAAATACAACGAGTTGAAGTGAAATTCACTACCTTCTCAAAATATTTATCCCAAATCATATAAACACTCTCTTTCTCAAAGTCTCCAGCGAAGATTGAAGTAAAGCAAGAGCGTGAGTAGTCATAAGCAGTAATTTTACGGGAGTTTAGATAGGAGCTCAATTTTGGATCGTGGTACTGCAAAACCAAGTACATCAACTGATAGCAAATAGCTCCCTCGTTACTACTTCTGGAAATTGAAAAATATCATAAAATTTTTTTATAAAATTTGCAGGAGCCATGAAACAGATAAATACCAAATATAAAAAATCAAATGCCAAAAATTAAGAAATGAGTAGAAGGTTCACGAAGGCATTCAAACACACTTAAGTGAATACTTAAAACTTAAAAAATTTACACGAGAAAATCTACCGAGGCAAAAATTTTGTGTTGATCGCGTAAAACATATTGTACAACTGTTCAGCACTACATCGCAAAGGAATCAATATATCAAGCAGCTTAACCCAGTCCGGATTAAAACTACATCCTTCCCGATCGCAGTACACCCAGAGAACAGTCTTTAGATCATCGCTACTAATTGTATTATATCTTGAAGCTAGCTCATCACATGTTGAAAGCAACAGCTCTGCACCAGTACCAGTATACGGACTAATGGAATCGCTTACAATAAAAGGTCGATTCTGAGCTCCAAGATATTCCTGTCAGAAAATAGATCTTTGCGTTTAATTATCTGACAAAAAAAAATTTTTTTGTAACGTTACTGAGTTAGTCATTCGCCAAGAAAATTTAAAGGACAACACATTAAAATTAAAACGAATAGGTCAATACAAGTCAGTCTAAAACGAGCACTATATTTTGATAGGCTAAAAGACAATTAGACTGATTTGAGAGTTTACTTAAAATAAAAGAAATCAGAAGAAAAATGTTGTTTGGTGAATTACGTAAAATGTTACTGAAATACCAACCAGCCAATTCTGACGATACTGATCCATTACTGCTTCCAACGCCGTCAAAACTGTTGACGATTCTGCAGACGATGAAGGGAAGTCCGTTTGTTCACAATCACTGTTATTACTCATCTCCGCCAAAGTTGAAAGCTGACTGTCCCGGTTAGCCGGAATTTCCAGTCTACCGCTAAAAACAACTGTTGTCCACTTTCTGACCTCAAATCGTGAACATCTCTAGAGCAAGATCCTGTAAAAAATGATACTTCCATTGGATTAACATCACGACAACGTTACTTATGCTGTATTCATAGAGTGAAAGTGAAAAAAGGTAAAATCGGTCCTGGATTTTACGTAGCAAATAAAAGCAATGTGCATAAAATGCACGTGTACGTATTTTTATCGAAAACTTACAATTCTATACTTAGTTTTAGAAATAAAATTTTAATGCGCATCAATGTCATATGGTTAAAAGAAACTATGAGAGTATAACACTAAAAGATATTTGAAATTTACACATCAGTATATCCGCGATTAGCGAGGATTCTTCCAGTAAGATATAATGTATAACCAAAAAAAAACCTTAGCATTAAAAAATATAAACTGAAATTTTAATATACTTTTGATATACAGTGAGAGGAAAAAATAAGAAATGAAAAAGCAAGGAAAGAAAGATAAAAAATCAGCCAAAGCATCAGCGGTCAACAAAATTTTTTTTTTGCTTTTGAATTACGATTGATGTTCACGCTCAATCATATGTAAATCATCTATGCAATTTGCAAACCGGGAAAATCTATATGCAAAAAAAAAAATCCAACCTATTGCTGTGCAAAGTTCCATACTTCCAAAACAATTTCTGACTATACGCAGACAGAGCGTAACAGCTAAATTAGCAACAGAAAAAGAAAAAAAAAAAAGTTTAAGCATTTGTCACAATCTTCCGCAATTTCTATAGACCACTTATAACAATCGTTCCTTCTATCTAACAAATGTCTAACACTGTACAAAAGTTGAACTATACTTTTCAACGTTTTTCAGATGTAAAAAAAACCTTTCAAGAACGGAATTGATGAGAAGAAATTGGTGAAG